GAAATTGTTCATCGTCCCAACGTCGATGGATCCAAACTATGTCCGTTTGTTTGACTCTGGGAGTTTCACTCGTCGCTTGTTTTCAAAAAAATACGAAACTAAATTGTTTTTCTGTGATGTGCATTTCGGCTTCAAACAGATCAACACATAGTCTGTGTTCCTTCCATGTTTAAGTTTGTTGTGCTCACCAGTTAGTGTCTAATTTACATTTTGAAAGCCACAAATCGTCAATTGAGCACTTCCACTCATTTTGACATTTGAAGATTAGTACATCAAATTTCTGTCATCAGTAGTATTTTTCCTCAGTAGAAATGTGACAGTACATTCAAATGTTCTGTTAGTTCTATGACTGTAACACACTAGCGGTGCCACTTAGGCTTAGCATTCATTTTAGCGTACGGTCAGCCACTGACAAATGATTGTGCATGGCTAGACTGCTTCAAGTACGATGTCATGTATCGGATAATTTCTTCAAAGGAAACTGGTTTTATCCGATGGTGATCGAGCTGCCTTCTTATGTGGGTTCAAGTGTGCGCGCAAAGCACAATTCCGAAGAATTAGGTCACTACATAATCGGCTACGCGAGCAACTTACCAATTAGTTGCCTTGGTCACAGAGAGTAGTCAGTAAATTTGATGCGAAATTACTAATCCACGGTGGTGAAGAAACAGGGCGCATAAACTACGTGGATGTATTCCTTGTCCGATTAGTGTTCCATCGAACCCACATATGCGTGATTCGCTCCCGCGGTCTGCACCTTCTAATCGTGATTCCCGGTGAGAGTTTCTGGCGAAATAAATAACTATTAGAAAAAAATCACCGTACCGACGACTTGACTGCGCGTACTGTGTGCATGCGTCGAACAAGAACATCAAAGCTGCCGCCATCGGGTGGCGATAGGAAATTGAAACAATACAATGCTTTGTGGATTCACGCACAAAATCCCCAATGGAGATAGAAAAGAAGCGCCAATTGTAAAGAGCCAACTATGATAAGATCAGCAAGCAGTATGCACAATCAAGGTCATCAAAGTTCGCGGTAAAGCATGTGCTTTCGATTTTTACCTATTCTAGCCATTCAAACAGCCCCAGTTGAGCAGGTGGCCACGCAGTCGTTGTTAGTTCGTTAGTTAGTTAAGACCATGTCCGATCCATACTGTTTAGCCTTATTTTGCGAGTATACGACAGAAGGAAGGAGGATCATTATTTAGTACGCCAATATTATCAATGTAGCGGACTGAATTTTGTATTCCGTTTGTTTGTATGCTCCATTTGAAATTATATTGTGACACGCCAATGTGAATATTGCTGCAATCTGGGTGACCATAACTATATGGTTCGAAAACACGTGATATTTTGCGAGGTGAAACACTCAATTTAAAAAAAAAACTATGCATTGTCGGAAGAAACATCATTGCTCCTAATTAATATTGAACAGAATTTATTAGTGAGCAATGAAAGCTGAAGGTATCAAAATCATGATTCCAAAATATCATTCAAAAAGGGAAAATTCTTCGTTGTCACCAGTAGGAGGATGTTAAAAATGACCAATGGGTTCGCCAGTGATTGACACTCATACTTTATTCCTAAATGCAAATGCAGTTTACTCAGGATGCTGGAACACGTGATGCAGTGTACACTTAAAAGATCTGATTTGGATAAAAATGATAAAAGTAATTGAAATTTGGCGGTTTCGAATGGATAATCAATGAACAGTCCGGGGACACTGGTATGATCCCTCTTAAAAGCAGCTTTATTATATCTACCGATTGTTGATAAAGTTTCCCAATTCTCTGATCACATTTCACAGTTCTGAGTAAATAAGAGGTCGGTATCCAATGAATAAATTGACTTAAATCTGACATCGAATTGCTAACAATTTGCTTCGTTTATACCCAACAGAACAAAAACAACGGGGGTTTAACTACGATCGATGGTGCAAGCCTACTACATAAATAACCGATTAAACCAACTCCAAATTCATCGATTCTGAAACCTATTGAAGAGCACCTGTGGAACGTGACTATTTTCCCCGGTTCATCTCGTTTAGGGCTAAACGGGGTCATAATAATCGGATAAAGATATTTAGATTATGTATGATTGTTAGAAACTATTCCGACTGCCTTCACGGTCGGAGTTCGAATTGAATTTCGAATTTGATGGTGAAACGAGAGAGGAAATTGAATTAGCTTGTGAAACAAAATGGTAACGCATCCGTGACTATTTCTCTGTCTTTTCCATGACTCAAACTTGAATTTCAGGAAAAGCTGGCCGGTTCTACTATCATCCTATCAGGGTATTCGGGTCTCTCACTCGAAGATTGTGTTCTATTGGCAACAAAATGGTGATTCGTTTTGTATGTTTTGAATCCTTTTATAGTATTTATTTTCACATCTTAGATGACACCTAACGAAATGCGTGGCGTGTAAGTTCACTCAGTTGAATTCATTTCATCGTCATTATTATAAACTATGACTTGCTTACGCCACATTGCCTGATATTTAGGAGGCTTTTTACAGACGAAGCCCGGTGATGCATAAAAATCAAAGCTTGAAATGACAGTGAGTTCACATGTGTAAACTCGTTCGAGAAGTTAGTTAGCTAAATAGTCACGTGAATCGTTGTATTGGTTAAGTGTGAGCTGCGCGCCAAAATGTGAGCTATCAATAAAGTTCAAAAGTTCCACGGTCGATCTCAGTTCATCTGTTTAATTTATAAAACGAATTCACATTATACCCTGGATTTAATTTGATCTGATTGTAAAATGTTATCCGTTCGGATCTGCTTTGGAGAACTTGAAACTACTTGACGAAGTAGCAAATCCGGAAGGTCAGGTGACCTTCAGTTCACGTCTACATTCAAGGAATTTCTCATTTCTTTGATGTGTTCCCCCGTTCTCTTCCCGGGAATCGCCTCCGGCGAGTGCTTTCTTCTTGCTGCACGACACACTCTCCCCACTTCGTCCGCGTCCCCACAGCAATTCGCTCGGTTCGGTCACCCCCACCCACTGTGTGAGTTTAGGAGAAAATCGCGTCGTTTGAGCCAATCAGAATCACGAGAAACGGTAAGTAGGATACCGACGGAACGGATTCCATTATTCATCCCAAATGAATAGCATTTCGTCCCCCGCGAGGATATCGCCGGCCTCCTCACTGACCAATCCACACGCAGTACTCGGCGGCCACATTCACTTGGGCGCGCTCGCACACACGCGCACACATGGGGTTGTCCACGCGTTCCACAACACACTATTTCGAAGTGAAAGGAAAAAGTCGGTTTTATATACCCAATAGGGCTAATTTTCATCGCTTTCGATAGTAGTGTACGTTGGAAAGACATGTACATAAACGAGTAACGTGAAATGTGTTGCGTGTCACATCTGAAGACTTTCAGGCATTAGATCAAACAGCAGACACATTTATCCGACAATATTTCAATCTTTGCCATGTCAGATAAATTTTCCACCTCTTTTGGAATAGCCGCACTGCTGGAACAGAACTTGGTCGATCGAGCCTACTCTTCAACCTCATCCTTCTCGTTTCCACATCAAAGTGAGTTTATAAACTTTGCGTGAACACTGAATGATTTCAACTGATTGGGCGGACTCATTTATTTTGCGTACCTTCAACCATACTCAGTGTTGTCTGCTGCGTTCTCACCATTGTTGTTGTGATACTCGTGGTGGTGGTGACATAGACAAAACTTCAATAGAATAAACCTTAGTTCAATGATGACTAATTTTTTTCAGAATTGTGCTTTTTCTAAAGAAGCAATAAACCGCTCATGTCTGTCTGTGAGAACGAAATACCTGCCGGAAATTAAAATTACTCGAGATTATTTTCAACGAGTAGAGTTTACCGAACCTTGTTTTTTTTATCCCAACCATATACGTATTCCAATCTTGGTATTTGTGCTAAAGCTTAGCAGCAAATACTGTCCAAGTGACGGTAACAGTTGGACGCAGAACACCTAATCTTTTTCTATGCATTCCAATAATGCCTGCTCCGAACCTACATGAGAACCACGTTTGATAATTCATTGATTGAATATGGTCTAGTTTAATAGCTAACGGAGACTGAGTCAAGTTCACACAACTTTAATCGAATAAAGAAGTCAGAAACATGGGTTTGCTGCATCTGTACGCGTGCATACTGCAGTCAAATTCATTTTTATATAGTCAGTGAGATAACTACCGTGAAATGAAGACATGATTGCTAATCACAACGCACAACGCACGACACAGTAACACAAAGAACGGGAGTGGGGTGGGGGTAATCACCAAGGCAAAGCTAAAGTGACTAACCATTCACGTTGTTTGCATAGATCGGGTTTGAGGATACGAATGGCTAGAGCCTCGGCAAATTTCAGTAACTTTGTGTTTGTTGTGTTGTAGACGATCTGAAATGCGTGCGTTGGAGTGACAAAATGTTTTGTTCGAATAAGTGCTCTGTTATTGGTCTTTTCTGCTCAATCGATGACGTAACAGTTTCGAACTTGTCGTCCATCGCTTTCCTAAGCCACACCGGGATGTGTTCGGCCATTCGGTGGCGTAACTGGGTCCCTGCCCTGCCTATGTAGATGGCTGAGCATCCGCACTTAAATGGGTAAATGTAGTTTGATTTGGCGGAGGTCGAGGAGGGGCAATGGTTCTTTCACCGATTTCTATGGTATCTGGGTCGTAGTGAAGACAATGACCGGGTCAACTGTGTAGTAGACACGCTTGACGGCAGAGGTCAGCCGCTTGCTGACTAATTCAATCACGTCATCGCCCTTGTATGACAACTTCAAAAAAGCTTTAATTTTGGGAGCAGTTAGTGATTTTTCTATTGTTGGTCCTGCCTTGCAATGTTTGGCGATGAATGCAAATGGATATCCGTTTGCCTGCAGAATTTTTTTAACAGTTGAATTTCGTCGTTTAAAGAGTCCTCTAGGCATATTTCACGCACTCGATAAAATAGTGTGCGAACGAGACCAATTTTGTATCGCACGGGGACGAAACTCGTGAAATGCAAATATTGCTTCGAGTTACAGTCGATTCAACCGATAAGACAATAAATTGAAACATTTTCCAGCATTTTCAGGAAATGACGAGTTCATCAATTTACGGTTCAATGACTTTCTTAATCTCTCCATATCATACGTTCGTGTTTGATGAACCTTTTCACAGCAGAAACTGGTAAATTTGATAAGAGGTATCACAGACAGGTGAAGCGTTGCATAACAGAGAGAAGTTGTTAGAGTTTGACTTTGCATTCACTGTGGCACTTGGTTAATCGCCTCGGGTTGTTCGATGTTGGGTGAAGTTTATCACACCGTAGACGTTTGCAATAAGTGATTGAGTATTGACTACGTTCGATGCACTTTCACTGAGGTCTGCACTTATATTTTAGTAAAATCATTCAAAGCTCAACGTATTTGTTTGTTTGTTTCGATGTTTCAGGGAATTATGGCTGTAGAGTAATCTTCCTGTCACTCTTATCTTCTCGCATAATAATCCTCAGTTTATCCAGACAACCAGATACTCAGGAAGCACATGATTCGAGTTTGGTTCTGATTACAGAACCTATCAGTGTTGCGTGATCAAGGTTCGAATCCCAATTTGCGTTGTATGAAAAAAAACTCGTACTAAAACGGATCAGCATCACCAAATCAGTGTAATCAAATTGACTGAGTTTAATAGCAAACTCAGAAAGCTGTCGAAAAATGTTAGAAGCATAAACTATTTGGAATAAAAAGGAACTATTTAATCAGGAATGTAAATCGTCACTATTAGTCATAACTAAACACTTTCTCCATGCAATAATTCTACTTAAATCCCACAAATGTTTTGATTTGAGCAATTTAATAAGCGAAAAGCAGCTACTAATGATTTTCATTGAAAGGAGGGGGGGGGGGGCTTTATCAATCATAATAAACTGTTCATTTCAGCAAATTTCAAAAACATTTTCATTAAATTTGAAAAATGAATCAGACCGTTTCATGGTGCCTCTCTGAGTTACAGTACCTAGTAATTTGGAGGTTGGGTTCCACGTTATTACACTGAAATTAAGCGGATCCCATCTGATTATTGGTGGTTCAGAGGGAAAGGAGGTCGTAGTTAGACAGGATGATAAATTTACAGATTTTTCATCTTGAGAAATTCCGCGTATGAAATCGGTTTACGTTCACTTACTGAAGTTTCAACCTCCACTTAAGTGAGTCATCTCAGTCAAAATGTCTGAATGGGGCTTGTTGAATGGAGGTTTGTTTTATTTGTGGTGTTGTGGTTGTTATGCAGAGCTGCAGTCTTACTACGGGGAAGCTGTGGAATCACCGCACAGCCATTGTATCTTAGTAATCATCAGCTTCAGCATCTTCACCGAATCCACTAGGATTCCAATACTGATAAGGAAAGCTATCAGGAATAGCCCAGAGTGGTAAAAATCCGCAAAACCAATGCCAGACTGAGGAGTGTTTGGAGTGTGTTTGCCTGAAAGAACGATATGAGTGGAGATAAATCGGGTTACACAGAACGCAGTATCTCATCTAAACACAGTAATCACACTTTTATGAAACTTTCAGGATCAGTGACCAAACAGTCCAACGGTGTGTTCGCATCTTTTGTAGCCACAATACCGAATACACTATATAGTTCACTCTAGGGCGTCTTGTTCATTTTTCACTAACGTGAGAATCTGATAACCCCTTCCGAAGATGAACTCTTTTAGAGGCACATTCCGGACCATATTTTATTACCTCTTGACTAAGTGGACAAACAGATCTGCTTGTTGACGGTATCAAACAGATGATCTTGATGATGTCATCAGGTCATGGCTTTCAAGGTAAAACGGTGCAAATGAGTTGCAATTATTTGGTAGGATCTTTAGCATACGTTGTTTATACAAGTGAGACAGAACACCAAGCAGGAGTTTTTTTCTTACAAACTGGAATTTCCGAGGAAGACTGGTTGCCATTCTTTCACGCCTCCCATCCATTCCAACGACTGGTACACACAGATGTATGGAAGCTGCAAGATCGGTAATACAATCCGGTAACTACATATCAAGCAAACTCTGAATGATTAGATTCAACATTCATTGATTTCAGAATATTCCTATACTTTTTGATCTGACTAGCCTGCTGCGGCGTTGCGAAATTTTGTGCGTTGAGGCTACAGGACTACGGGTTTTGGTCGAAGGAATGTAGGTCAAGGCTAAAGGATTGTGGGTTTTGGCTAATGCATTTCGGGTTTTGGCTAAAGTTTGATGGGAAAAGGTGTAGATCAAAGTTCCGTCAGCTTTAGATAAGATTTGAGTAGCTCAGGTAGAACATAGTAAACTGATTGGGCCATGGGGCATTTATTCTTCTGAATTGATGATTGTCTGTCTGTCTGCCCTCTAACTAATTACATCATCCCAAATTCAATGCAGTTTTCCAATCACACTATGGTGTGGTGAATTGCAGAAATGGTAAACTCCATAATTGCGAAGAGTCAATACTAAAACATGGAGTGATGAACTGCATGGTCTTAACTGATGGACTCAGTCCCAATCCCCAAATAATGATGTGACCACAAGAATGAAAATGATAAAACGATTCCTGTGTGAAAAAGCGCGGTATTTGCACTATTGATGAGACCCAGACCAGGTTGAAACAGTTGTACAGCGCATCCCAGTTTTTCAGTTCATGGTTGTTCAAACTGAAAATGAATGAACGACAAGTGCCTCAGTTGCCAAGGTGTGAGTCTAACTATTTTCGGTATGCAGCTCTACAGGTTGATTCAGTCTCCACTTGATGGCTTGTGTCTGTTACAGGCGAGTAAGCGTCACAACCTCAGGACACCTTTTCTGTCATGTTTCCCCAATGTTTGGTCGATATACATTGCATTGCGAAAGCGACTAAATGAGTAAACGACCATGAACGGAGCCAAGCAGGTAAATCGTCCTTCTTGGTTATTTTGATTACACGCACACCCATGAACATGTATGTCAGTTAGATTACATTAAGTACTCTCACAATGCGATAAACTTTTGTGAATATGTTCAAATAGGTCAATTTGTACTACTGGTAGTATACTCTAGCTTGCTGAATGGAATCAAAACTTGTCTTATTTAAGGGAGACTTTCAGGCTCTCTTTGAAAAGATTCCTGTGACTACCGAGATAATCGTTGACATGTTCGTTGAGCTGGTGTATACAGTGAATGATTTATTTTTCTCAGTTACATTTAATGGCCGGAAAATTGCGATATTCCCACTCCATGGTCGAATTGTTTGAAATCACTAGCTTCAAGTTACCTACTTTCTTTACCTGTCAATCCGAAACAAGGAGCTATTCAAACTATTCATCTTGACCACTTAACACATTGACCTTTCGTAAAAGAACACAAAACTCCTAGTGAATCAGACCTGTAGCTCAAATCATTTGTGAGGCCCGAGCTTCACTAAACAGTTTGATGTTGCTTGCCCAAGATTCTCTTGGGCAAGCTTCTTGCTTAAAAATTGTGTATCGCATGATCAATCATAACTCTATGAAATGCCGTATCTTCAACCATACTCGAGGATTGAGTCCATATCACGTAGCATTGTTAAAACGAAAAATGTTAATGGATAGACCCAAGAAACCAATGTGGTTCACTCTGATGTACTAATGATTTCCAACAATGATAAGCAGCTGCATAGAGATCTCTAAGATTTCCAGTGCCGACTGACACGGTGACTGCACGAGACATTTCGATGGTGATGGTAGAGAATCAGCGTGTAAGTTCCACTGGTCGCTGCGAATAATTAGGCGGCAGTCGATTGGATCTATTCAAATATTCATGCAATAGGGTTTGGAAAACAAACAGTGTTCATATTGGAACAGGTAAAGTAAGTGAACAACGTGTTTTGTGCTTCACACTGTTCCTGGTAGTTAAAATATGTTCCTTCACTAGTGCCTGGGCCAATCGACCATACATGCATCGAACACGATTGTGAGTAAGTTTGTGACCTCTAGGGCGGATAGGATTCGTGGGAGGTATGTGCAATTCAAGTTCAGCATGCAGTCCCCCCTCATTGTTATTTCTTTTCCCGATCATCATTTTACACGATCGTTCTTAGATCTCCCCGAGGCACCGATAACACACGAAGATAATTATTTGAACCCATATGCAAAACAATGGTTTGATCGTGGCGAGAACGCAGTGCACCTGAATCACGTCGATGTCGATTTGGGCCTCGAACCGAGTGGTTGGACTAATGCTCAAAGTGAAAAGAAATATTTGCCAATGTGCCCCAAACACGCGTCGTCTCCGACAGGATTCCGAACAAACGAAAGGTTGTCAGACGAAGATGACGAGTTGAATTCCGCTAAACCGAACAGCCGCGGCTCATCCCAGATTCAGTCCGATAAACCGAGTGCCCTGACAATCGTGCGAAAACAAACGAAATGGGCGAAACAAAACAAACTTGTGTCAGCCGAGGTTTGTACTATGAGCAAGTTGCACCGTGCGGCAAAAAAACATAGACGAAATCGTACGACGTTTACCACATTTCAACTTCATGAATTGGAACGCGCATTCGAACACAGTCACTATCCGGATGTAGTGTATCGGGAAGATTTGGCACACAAAATACGTCTACCGGAGGTACGCGTTCAAGTGAGTGAATTTTTTTTAATTTACACATCTGAGTGAGCATGTGTGGGTATAGTTTGAGCCGCAGGAACAACATCATAGCCAATAGGTAAGTGAAGTTGGTAATAGTTTGTCATCGTATTGAGCCATCCGAACAAAAAGAATATTTTCAAGTTCAATCAGTATCGTATTCATGCTGGTAAGAATTTATACCGGATAGTAAACCCTATACACGTTTTGACGGGTTACAGATAAATTGAAGATTGGACCAATCAATATGTGAGTGTGAAATTCCAAAAGGTCAACATACAGAGGATGAGTTGGGTTGGGACGCATGGTATGCGTAAGAATGATATTGATTTCAATGGCATTCAAGGTTATCAATAGAACAATGAACTGAGTTACCCAAGAGAGAATAGCAATATCTAGAAGATGATGGATTGACAATCGGTTTTTTTGAAGATATAGGAAGGATATACGGGAAGAATGAAGAGTTCTTACCAAAAGTGCTCTGTGCAACAGAAAAAGAGATATCAGTTTGAACTGCACCATGGATGATACCTTGGCTTTCCGAACTCCAGAAAAAATTGACACACGTTTGGCTCAGACTGACACATATGTATTCTGTCAAATCGGCTTTGAGAAGTGCTGAGCGAAAATCGGGGATACGGGCATGCGCGGCGTGAAAAGTATTGAAAATGGTGCAGAGTGAGTTCAAATGATGACCTGATAGTTGAATGATTTTTGACTGACAGAACTATGCTACCAGCATACGTGGAAAGATGAGCAGGATCGTGGTGCAAACTGATAACAAACACAGAGACAGTACGGTTCATTGAGAGAAAAAGAATCTGAATTTGCTCATTAGTAGTTTAGAAGTATTTCAACTGTCCTTCGCGCACCAAGAACAAAAAGGGTAATAATCAGAACGAACCGAATTTTGCAGTCTGTAGAGGAGATGGAAAACGTAAAGTAACTCAGTGGTCCATAAAGACACAACAGACAGATGAAGAAAAATCATCAATGGCGTTTCAACTCCAGTACGGATTGCTTTAACACAGGATTCATTTTCATCGAACGCTGTCCATTGATCAAAGTGAATAATGGCAATCCACAAGATAAGTACATTATGCAAAATAAACATTTATCTATTGACAATTGTGAGTGCTTCAAATCTATTCGAGTATAAAATTCAATGACAGTGGTGGATTTGAGGTAATTCACCTAAAGACGAATGGTTTAGCGTGAAGGGAGTGAATCAAAGCCTGCAGTATAAATTCCATTTGCATCGATTAAACTACACGCCTGGCAAAAGAAGTTCATTGTTTCCGGGTGGTCCGGTTGACTCGGCCTACCTACCGGTTACCGATCCGGATATCTGACTCTGTATTCTCAGAATTCAGCGATAATATTCCGGCACTGATGAAAACAACTATCAGAGCTTCTATAAGGGGCGCCTTAAAAGCAACACTTCAAGAGATAAGAAAGAAGTATCGATCTAAATAGGGTTTTTGTTATNAATTGGTGCTATCCAAGGCAGCATGGGTAAACCGGATTGTCTCGATAACTTCCCATCCAGTTATACAGACCAATAACACAACCCCCGGGGAACGTTGAGTGTCGGACTGCATAAGGTCCCAAGAGAGTAAGCGGAGTGTATACGGAAAATGAAAAGCGATCCGAACAGCCGGTGGCCGAGCGGTTAGTATGCATGCATTTTATCTGTGAGGTCCCATGTTCGATCCTGAGTTGGGTCCATTGCTTCGCACTGCTGAGACCCAGTCAGGTCAAAACAGCTGTCCAGTGGTTCCTGGTTTTCAGTCCACACTATTTTCTCTTCACCTAGAGCAATTCAACATATGAATAAACCAAATACTCCACGACTATCAAATAAGCGAGTCTTAATTAAACTAAAAGCGACGAAAGTTGGGCGGCGGTTGAAAAAAATACTCAGTGCCAGCAGGTGGTAAAGAGTTAAACTGTCGTTCTTGGAGACGCGCTCGCAGTTCAGATGGTATTGATAATTTAGTGACTAGAGTGGTACCTATTCTCAGTACATATCAGAGTTTTATCTGACGTACAACTTATTTGTTTACGTGGTTCGTTTCACTCAACTTTAGGTTATTGTAACTATTATGGAATTTCAAGCTGAACCTTAAAAGTAATGACATGAACCAAGTTATGTATGACTATCTTCCTGGAGTAATGAAACCGGTGCGTATTTCAAGTTGTTCGTATTTGGGCCTTTAATCTGTAAGCAATGTTAAGTCGACTGATTTTCAACAGATAGGCTCAAGCTAAGAATAGGCGGATTGTTAATGTGCGAGTCTTTTTTGACCCGATATGATTCAAGATGCAGTTTTTAGAAAACTTCGAGTTTTCTATCAGGTATGAAACAAATGGGATTTGCTATTGGTTTACTCATTTGCTGTTTGGTAGTGAAAGCTGAAAATGGGAATTGATCAATCGTACACACATCTCAGATGGAAAATTATTGATTACTCACTCCACAAATTCTACACGCGACAACAAATATATAGGGCAACTGGATTATTGACTGGTGCAAACGAATCTGATAAGTGAACATTTGATGCAGATTTCTGACTGAGAATTTTGAAGTCACATTTTCGAATGAGATCCACTGCGAAATGAATGGGATGGCAACAGAGCCCCAACTCAGGCCGCTTTTAATTGAACGCCTCAGGTTCAGAGGTGATGTCAACAATGTTTCCTTTTTTTAGATACCCAAGCATAATTGTCTAAATTGCCCACAGTTAAGATTTTTTAGTCTTTTTTTAAAGTTGATCACCGAACTAGAAGTTGACAATGACATTTCTTTGTTAAGTGCTCATGAATTCCGATCAATCAAGTACTTCTTGTTTTGGAAATTATTATAGAATCAAGTCACCCAATGAATGGGGTTAAAGTATTTCACTCCTTCCGCAATGTTCTGGTACGACAGTGTGAAAGGATTAGAAATACCATAGGGGTCAGAGCAAACGCGAAAGGTTTATATTCACACATTCACTATCTCTCCATAAACAAGAAACAGATTTCCATGTAAATACCCCAACTTACCGCAACCAATTCCGGCTGTCCCCCATTTTCATAAAGAACACTCCACTCAAATGACAATAAGACAAAATTTGAATATGGGACAAAATTGAAGCTTTTATTGTTTTTCTTTCAATTATTTGGGAATTCACAGACGCCAACACAATGGTGTTGGCCGCTGACCAGTGTAGCTCAGGGGCATAGTCTCAGGTTAATCCCAGCGAGAACGAGGCAGAATTCCAGTACTCTTTTCTGTCTTTAAATGAGAATTTTTCTAAAAAAGTACCACACAAAAAATTATCGAGGACTCGCATATGCTCGTAGATCTATAGTCATACCATAATCTCATTCGTAAGGCAAAGATAATCCCTACAGATTGTCCATCCCTTTTGTTATACCGATGAAGACCAGCGCAACAACCCTAATCACACTGAAATATACACTGGTGTGGAAGTAAAATTGAAGGTAATTTTTTTATCAATCCATTTGTCCCTGTGGTATTTTCTCGCAAAGGGTGTGTAAACACCTATAATTGTTATCGATTCGTAGCATGATGTGAGCAAATATTATGAAGCAACCTTTTTTACTCCGACCGATTTCAGCGGGAAAAATCGTGAGATTTGCTGGACATGGACAAAAATATTCACGTGTTTCACAATCGTTGTATACATCCTTTTTACGTGCTTATCATTATTTGCATTCACAGGTTTGGTTTCAAAATCGCCGTGCTAAATGGCGGCGACAGGAAAGACAAGAGGCTGATATTCATTCACGTAACCTGCAAGAAGCGTTACCGTTTCTGCGAAGATCAACTCTGATTCACAGTGAAGTTCCTCCGTTGCCTTTCGGCTTTGTTGACCGTTCGGTTGACTCGATGGAACATGATGTGGATGTGGATGACACTCAGGATAATTCTGTTTCGACATTCGCGAACAACATTCAAATTGTGGATAAAGGACAAAATAACTGCAGCGTTCCGTTAACCAATGGTGATGGGCAACTTCGATCGGATACCACCTCATCATCACTGCAACGGTCTGAATGGTCAGCTTGGAATTCGATCGATTACAAATTTCCACAAATGATACCTTCAGTCAGTCATTTCCCCCTTCACACTTCGTGGGGATGTCCGTCGGCGAATATCATTGATAATACAATTTGTCAGTGAATGTGAAATTGGTGCTTTTTTCTTTCTTTCGAAACCAACAATTATGCCACACGTGGGTCCGAAATAAGAAAGAACAGATTATCATTTAGGAAGGAGACCAACTGATTTTCGAACAGTCAGAATTAGAAAACAACATAATGGAAAGCATAGAATTTAAAACACCATTTTGTTCAGAATTTAAATTTTACTCAGGTTATATCCGCTGCGGCCCATACGGATAAGTAACTGGGTTGTTTTTTACACGACTATCTTTTGCTGGAGGATATTACCCATCACGCTCGGTCTGTAGCATAATGAGAGAATGTCATACGCCAAAATTAAGAGGCGTGAGATCAAAAGCGGCACCAGTCTTTTGACTGGATCTTGCCCATCTAAATGGAACCTTTAAGTCAGATAGTTTGTTCCAGCTGAGCTGATCGCAAATTAAACGGGTTTCGTTGGCCTCATCCAGGAAGCTTTTCCAGGTAGTGGCGGATGGCATTTGCCGCGTCACGGTACTGTCTCGGTCTCCTGTGGCACATTTATAGAGATCAACATCATCGTACAGCGAGATACAGTCAGCGAGCTTCACTGATCACTGCCAAGCTCACAATGTACACAAATCAAGTGATAAATCACAAGATGGAGAGGAATTGGGCCTACTTGGAGGGAGGCAAAGGAAAAGAACCTCTATTTTCAACATACAGAGTATACAATCTAAGTGTTCATACATACCTTTTCAAGCATTCTGCCTTGTTAGGAAATGACAACAAAAACGCTACTGCCGCCGGTTAGTCGCCATATTTTTTAATGTCTCCAGCCAACCAGTTGCAGTCTTTCGGACCCCAGCCTGGAAGACGGGAGACACCGATTCTATCTAATCACTCTGTGCATTTCC